TTACATTACTGATACTGATACTGGACAAACTGACGGCATAAGGAATACGAAATGTCATTACATTACTGATACTGATACTGGACAAACTGACAGCATAAGGAATACGAAATGTCATTACATTACTGATACTGGACAAAGTGACAGCATAAGGAATACGAAATGTCATTACATTACGTGATACTGATACTGGACAAAGTGACAGCATAAGGAATACGAAATGTCGTTACATTACGTGATACTGATACTGGACAAAGTGACAGCATATGGAATACGAAATGTCATTACATTACTGATACTGATACTGGACAAAGTGACAGCATAAGGAATACGAGATGCCGTTACATTACGTGATACTGATACTGGACAAAGTGACAGCATAAGGAATACGAAATGTCGTTACATTACGTGATACTGATACTGGACAAAGTGACAGCATAAGGAATACGAAATGTGATTACATTACTGATACTGATACTGGACAAAGTGACAGCATAAGGAATACGAGATGCTGTTACATTACGTGATACTGATACTGGACAAAGTGACAGCATAAGGAATACGAAATGTCATTACATTACTGATACTGATACTGGACAAAGTGACAGCATAAGAAATACGAGATGTCGTTACATTACGTGATACAGATACTGGACAAAGTGACAGCATATGGAATACGAAATGTCATTACATTACGTGATACTGACACTAGACAAAGTGATAGCCTAAGGAATACGAGATGTCGTTACATTACGTGATACTGATACTGGACAAAGTGACAGCATATGGAATACGAGATGTCGTTACATTACGTGATACTGATACTGGACAAAGTGACTGCATAAGGAATACGAGATGTCGTTACATTACTGATTCTGATACAGGACAAAGTGACTGCATAAGGAATACGAGATGTCGTTACATTACATGATAATGACACTGGACAAAGTGACTGCTTAAGATTTACAAGATGTCGTTACATTACGTGATACAGATACTGGACAAAGTGACAGCTTAATGTTTACGAGATGTCGCAATATGGTGACCCATAACTTAAAAACGTAGTATCAATCATCTTTATTCCCACATTCTTTGTATGGTATGGAGACCTCGTGCAGTATCTATCATACCCACATCTTTCATATGGTATAAAGACATTGGGCAGCATCTAATTGTAATTGATTATTATTATTAGCGCTAATAACGTTGTAACTAATTATTATTAGCGCTAATATTGTAACTAATTATTATTAGCGCTAATAGTGTTGTAACTAATTATCATTAGCGCTAATAACGTTGTAACTAACTATCGTTAGCGCTAATAAAGTTGTAATTAATTATTATTAGCGCTAATAACGTTGTAATTAATTATTATTAGCGCTAATTATGTTGTAATTAATTATTATTAGCGCTAATAACGTTGTAATTATTTTTTATTAGCGCTAATAGTGTTGTAACTAATTATCATTAGCGCTAATAACGTTGTAACTAACTATCGTTAGCGCTAATAAAGTTGTAATTAATTATTATTAGCGCTAATAACGTTGTAATTAATTATTATTAGCGCTAATAACGTTGTAATTATTTTTTATTAGCGCCAATAACGTCGAAATTAATTATTATTAGCGCTAATAACGTTGTAATTGATTACTATTAGCGCTAATAACGTTGTAATTAATTATTATTAGCGCTAATAACGTTGTAATTAATTACTATTAGCGCTAATAACGTTGCAATTGATTATTTTTAGCGCTAATAACGTTGTAACTAATTATTATTAGCGCTAATAACGTTGTAATTAATTATTAGCGCTAATAACGTTGTAATTAATTACTATTAGCGCTAATAACGTTGTAATTAATTACTATTAGCGCTAATAACGTTGTAATTGATTATTATTAGCGCTAATAACGTTGTAATTGATTATTATTAGCGCTAATAACGTTGTAATTGATTATTATTAGCGCTAATAACGTTGTAATTGATTATTATTAGCGCTAATAACGTTGTAACTAATTATTATTAGCGCTAATAACGTTGCAATTGATTATTTTTAGCGCTAATAACGTTGTAATTGATTATTATTAGCGCTAATAACGTTGTAATTGATTATTATTAGCGCTAATAACGTTGTAATTGATTTTTATTAGCGCTAATAACGTTGTAATTGATTATTATTAGCGCTAATAACGTTGTAACTAATTATTATTAGCGCTAATAACGTTGCAATTGATTATTTTTAGCGCTAATAACGTTGTAATTAATTATTAGCGCTAATAACTTTGTAATTAATTACTATTAGCGCTAATAACGTTGTAACTAATTATTATTAGCGCTAATAACGTTGCAATTGATTATTTTTAGCGCTAATAACGTTGTAATTGATTATTATTAGCGCTAATAACGTTGTAATTGATTATTATTAGCGCTAATAACGTTGTAATTGATTTTTATTAGCGCTAATAACGTTGTAATTGATTATTATTAGCGCTAATAACGTTGTAACTAATTATTATTAGCGCTAATAACGTTGCAATTGATTATTTTTAGCGCTAATAACGTTGTAATTAATTATTAGCGCTAATAACTTTGTAATTAATTACTATTAGCGCTAATAACGTTGTAATTGATTATTATTAGCGCTAATAACGTTGTAACTAATTATTATTAGCGCTAATAACGTTGCAATTGATTATTTTTAGCGCTAATAACGTTGTAATTAATTATTAGCGCTAATAACTTTGTAATTAATTACTATTAGCGCTAATAACGTTGTAACTAATTATTATTAGCGCTAATAACGGTGTAATTATTTTTTGCTCACAGCATACATTTTCTGTTGCTTCATTACTTTGTACTTCCTATCCGTATTTGCATATTTAATTATTTTAACTAGTAATCGTTCTTCTCATCACAGGTGATGTAATTAACAATTCTATATAAATGGTATTTCTTGCGGTACGAAGTAGAGCCAGAAATCGATGTTTTTGTGGCACCTGTTAGAGGGCGCATATGGCATACCGCATTGGTTCTTGTGGGAGTCTTTTGTGTGACTTGGTCAGTCTCGGCGTTGCCACGTTCATTACGTGGGTTTTTAGCTTTGGTTTTTTCTACACGGCTTTTGTATCACTGTATTGTAAATAATGACCAATAATAAATGGCGATTCACTCTGAATATTCGGGTGTGCCTACTTTTTTGTTAACAACTATTGTAAAAACAAAACAAAACTTGGCTAATTTCTTGATAGGAAGTAGAACTGGTCACGTGATTGTGTTGGAAAAATCTAACGAATGTTCCCTTTATTTGGCTAATGACACGACAGCGTGCCCGGATGTAACGGTTGTATTCATAAGCGTATACTTAGGTAGAGATCATTGCCTATTTGGGGGGGGGGGGAAATTAAATGTCTCACTACTTTTTCTATATTAACTCCAATCATTATAGCGCCATCAACGGCTTAGTACGTATGTGCATGACACCTATTCCACTACTGACATAACAACCACACTTCACTGACTTAAAATGATTACGTGGAACACAAAATGTGATTCCAATAAACTATACACTCTTTCCATTATCACCACAGACACAAAATAAAAACACAGACACACTAAATATGTAAACATAACTTGTATATTATCTTTTTTGTCAAAAATTGTCAAATGATGTTGAAACTGAAGTAACATTTAAAAAATCGCTTTGGCATTTGCTAGTAATTGACTTCGTACATGATGGCAGTGAAGACAGCATACATGTACGTACAGACAGTGGACTAGTATTTCAGCAATCGTATTCTATGTTTCCCACCATTGGATACTACGTCTCTGTGAATAAACTTTCTAATACAGAAATAACTCCTGAATTAACAAATTTGATAACGCGACAATGATCGAAACTTACAAATAATGAAGTTGTATCCATGGTAGAGTAGGGTTCAAATAGTATGAGGTAAAATGTGCGTCCCAGGTTCAGACGCACACGTGATTGGAAATTCACAGTTTTACCGGCCACACGAGAGTAAAAAGACTCACACATGAACAGGGGGACGAATGGTAAAATCCGGATTTGTACGACGTTTTAAAACAAGTTAAGAAAAACGAACATTGGAATACGACATGTACGACCTAAAATGCAAACAAATTATATTAAAGCGGAAGGGTCGTCACCTGTGCACGCGCGGGCGGGCGGGAATTAAGTCCCAAGCGACGATAACACGCGCTAAAACGCAAAGGCTCATGGGTAGACGCTTGTTTGTAAACAATGACACGCTATGGCCATCTAACGCATGCGCAGGTGACGACTCCCCCGCTTTAAGCATGGGAGTGATTGCATCCTATATTACAAATATCTGCTTATGCTGAAATGAGGAAGCCGGCTAATGACACAACTAAACTACTGTATAATAAAATATATGGAAACGCCAACAAATAAAAAAAAAACATTTCTGCAGCATTTTATAATATTGGTATCAATATGTCAATACCGTTACCATGTAAACAGCTCTTTGAATCCAATTTAGAGGACAGCGCCCTCAGTGTCATAACAAATAAATACATTCTTAACATTGATTGTAAAATAAACAAATATTTTTAAATAAGCACCACATGGCGCATTTTAATAGTAAACATAAAAAATTGCGCATTGAGGCAGTTTAATCTTAATACAATTTCCAAAAATAACGATATATTTAAAGAGCGGATCACTACTTCGCCTTGCATTTCACAGTGCGTGGTACGTCTTTTTAACACTACATAATTGTGAGCGTACATAAGGAGCAAACAGAAAGGCAGGATTTAGCGGAATATCCAAAGTACAACAAGTTACAAGTACCGACACGATGCTATAGCTTTTCAGGTATGTTAGATGAAAGGCAAAAATTGGGTCATAATAGAAATAAAAAAATATCCAGTTGCATAAAAATTAACATAACAATAAAAATACTATGTCAATGTACAAAGCGTACGTATCACGTGACCATACAATAGCTACAGTTCACCTTTAAATTGTTATGTTTGGCAAGCCTATATAAATGTAATAAAACGGCATATCTTGTAGATTTTAAGACTGCTATGGCCAAGGCGAATAGCGAATCAGCTATTTGACTGACGGAGACGAATGCTACGCGGAGCAATTTATCCTCTCAGACTCATCTTGCTTCAACGTTTCAGTTGACCCCCTACGATAATATTTACAAATGATTTTCATAAAGTTTCAAGCTAGGCGACCACGTCATATTTCTGCTTGCCACAATTACTGTAATATTATATTTCACGTTGTCTATCCCACTCCTATCCCATAATACACAGAAACGACGTTTTTCTCAAAATATAAATTAAATATTGGCACGTTATAAACTGATTGTCGTCGACAAAGGGTTTTAATTTTCTGACGATTGTCATTTACACTTTTTTTTTCGTAACCACCAAAAAAATATAACCATATTATATAAAAAATGTTCAGATGTTTTACAAACATTTTGCTTCGTTTTTGATTTCTGCTAGAAAGTTAGCTAAATGTGCAACCCTCTGACCATATTAATAATGACGTTTTTTAAGATGCAATGACAAAAAAGTTTATCATATTATTTTTTTACCATCGTGCCATTTGGAGTGCACGATTCGTAATTAGTATGACATTTACATACTACGATTCATAGCTATCGTCTTTTGGTTCTTCTTTAACGCTGACTAAATCAGCTGTACTGTCCTCATTTTTCTTAGATATCGACAAATCTAAAACGCCGTTGTCACTAGCAGCGCTTTTCTCTGTAGAACATTGCTTCTTATCTTCGCTTTTTTCTGGGGTTCTCTCCTTAAACAGTGATGGTGACGTAACAGGTGACGTAGTTGCTGACGACGATTCACGGATTCTCCCTTTGATTTGTCTTGACATTGAATGACTTGGCATGGTATCTGTCTCGAAGTATGTTTCGCGGAAACGCTGTAGTTCATCTCTCGGCGATCCCAGAGTGGGCGGAAATTGGAAAAATGTCATTGATTCAGCCAATTTTGACGTCGGGGTTGCTGGTAATGATCTGGAGGAAGCCATTACCAACGACGGTGTAATCTTGGGAGACTTGGGACTATTTTCACCAGTCCATGCAGGTCGTGGATTGTCCTGACTCCATTTTCTTTTAAATCTCAGTTTTATTGGGATTAGTTTCTCTGTATCGCCACTTATTTCGTCAGCCTGTTCGTCATCATCGTCCTTGGGCGTGGGTAACGGATCGTCATCGGACCTCCCAGAATCTAAGGATGTATCCTTTTCTGAACCAAATACAGGACTTGTCACCTCTATTTTGGGGTAGGCCGTGGGACTATTATCGGCGCTACGCACAGCGCTGATACCACGCGGGACTTGCAATAAACCCGGCATCTTTTTGTCATCCAATCCACGTTCACTTAATCTACGGAGTAACAATGCTGATATGGCGCGGCTTTCATCGGCTTTGCTGATTGGTGTATTACGTGGCGGTGATTGTTGTGCATTCGACAATCCTAATTCTCGCATTTTCATTTCACTTTCAGCAATATTCTGAGACAACATGGCTGATGGGGGCGCTTGTCCACCGTAAATGTACCGTCGTCTGAACTCTTCCATGTTGATACGATTCCTCTCTTCTTCCATCTTCCTTCTTTCAAACTCAACTTTCATTCGGAGTTCATTTTCATACACAGCAGCAGCTATCTGGGCCGATTCAGGCGCCATCTTGTTGTTATGTGGAGGTGGTGGTGGGAATGCAAATCGAAGTGGTGGCACTGAACACAGCGGACTCATCGGACTCATCGGGCTAATCGGGCTCATGGGTGGCGTGCCAATACTAGGCGGTATTGGACACTGGGTTGCATTTGGGTGCATAGGGGAAGGCATAAATTGGAACTTTGGTCGAAATACTGGATTCGGTACCACATGGTCTACAAATGATGAATAAGGTAATCTATTGTCATTTGGTCTGATCATCGTTGGGGGTCTGGGTAAAAACATTGATGGGTGTTGTTGTATGATACGATGCGTGGGTTCCAACGGCTGAGGTTGTCGAATGTCTGAATGCAGGGAAGGTCTCACTACAGTCGCTGATGATCTATGCATGTTCGGAATTTGCGAAGACTCATTTTCGTCATTCTCCGATGATGTTCGGGAATCGTCGCTAGATGTCGATGATGTCCGTTGGGTCCTTTGAGTTGAGTGCGTCAAATTAGCCTCGTTGTCAACACCAATGACGTCATCATCCGTGGGGTCTACAAGATTCATGCCACCATCGGGAGGAGGGCCAACGAACTTCGGACTGAATTTAACATCGAAGAGCGGATAATTTACCATGATTAATTTGTCAAAGTTGAACTTGTAGGTGAATCTCTTCCCCTTTGTCTTATTCAGTATGCGTTTGTTGTAATAATATCTAGAAAAAAAAGACCGTGGGATCAGCATAAGCGTTTTCTATTGGTTGAGTTGTTGCTATGTCGCATTACATCTATTTCGAAATAACAAGTTATGTTGTATAAAACACGAATACAAATATTAGTACGCAGACGATACTTTCGTCACAAATATTGTATACAATTTACCTAAGAGCACGGCTCAGCTTGTCATAATTCATATGTGGTTTACATTTGCGCATGCCCCATAGCCGAGCTAGTTCATCCGGGTCCTTAATGATGAATTCGCCATATTCTCCTTGCCAAGAAATCACTTCGCGGAACTCTTCTTTCTGTAAAAGTTCCAGGATGAAGTGCCAAAGTTGAATCTGTCTACTGCCAGGGCTGCTTTCAGACTTGTAGGCCCACTCGGGGAAGGCGAATCCTGCAAAAAATTAAAATAGTGTCTTATTAGGACTTTGTAATATAGATGTTGCGCGAGATTTGACGATAAAATGTCATAAAACGCACGCGACGTTACGTACTCCCGGACGTTACGCGTCACCATTGTATGCTCAAGAATATCTACAAGGCCGTAATCGCATGCAAAAAACAAACAAAAAAACAAAAAGACAAAAAAAAAAGCAGGACTGCAAATCAAATTTGAAAATGATTTATTCGTTAGAATAACTTTGGCAATTGGGTCGGCCATTGATTCAAAATAATGTCAAATAAAAACCACGTCTCTATCCAAGTACGATTTGAAATGAATCTGTAACTTGAATCACACTATCTACGAGCGCCCTCCTTCGCCATTGTACACATTTGTCTCGTTTATAGAAGACAGACGCGTGGGCGCGGCAGTAAAACACTGTATTTAAAAGTCCAATGATACGGAAGTATTTAGGGCAAAATAGGTAGTTATTTAGCGTTGTTGTGATTTATAGAATGTGCATCCAAAACGAAGTCACCGTGAAATTGCTACATCAATGTCGGGAGCACACAGAGTGGGGTAGATAGTCTGGGTAATTGACATATAGCTGGTTAAAGGGATCATCGCCACTCTCATAATGGTTGTCTAGTTTCATATACTCCCAGCTGTTGTTTTATAAGGCATTATATTTGTGGAATTACTACAACAGAATGTAACCACGTAAATCAAACTGAAAATTTGTTGTGAGAATGCGTTTGTACGAGGAAAAGGAGATTATATTTACTGTGAATGGACGGGGTTTCTTTTCGACTTGTATAAGCATTTATTTCACAAGTGTTGCAGAGGTTTTATTGCATATTTCGATAGCCCTTTAAAAATAGGAGACACCATGGTGGGCGAATATCCCATCCATCTGATCTCACTACATCCACGGTTGCTAGGCAACTGATTCAGTCACTTGAGAGAAGGGGGAAGTTGTTCGCCATGAGAATAAATCTCTTCCGATAACCTGATACCTGCTTTTAAGAATACCGAGAACAAATAATAAAAAACATTTCCTTTTGTCAGATAATTTTGATGTCACATGACTTTTCTAAAATTCTTGATATCGCATCGTATTTCTCGTGATGAAATTCACTTGTGTATTATGGGATAGGAGCAGGGAGGCTTGATCGGAAGTGGAGTGTCGTCATCAATATCTTATAAGTTGTGTTCAAGAAAGGTTAATGAGCTCCGATGGGATGCTACAAATTAGCTGGACTTGATTTAACAGGGTTTTCAAGATGTGGCGTACTTAACAATCAGTCTAACATGTAGTCAGGCATAAGGACGACGGTGTGATTACAGGCAACGTCGATAAGAGGATCAAAGGTGGCAGTATACGCACCTAATATACAAGCTACTCAAAACACTCTGCAATGTACCCACTCTATGTGTGGGTATGATGGGCCAAGCACGTGTAACAACACGCGGCAACTAACCGCCCCTCTTCATAATGTTAATTGCACGACCAAACTAAATATAAAACAGTTCACTGTTATTATATACATTTAGCGTTCTAATGTACATCTTTAGTGTTCTAGTACACACTATCAGTGTTCTAATATACATCTTTAGTGTTCTAGTACACACTATTAGTGTTCTAATATACATCTGTAGTGTTCTAGTACACACTATTAGTGTTCTAATATACATCTGTAGTGTTCTAGTACACACTATTAATGTTCTAATATACGTCTTTAGTGTTCTAGTACACACTATTAGTGTTCTAATATACATCTGTAGTGTTCTAGTACACACTATTAGTGTTCTAATATACATCTGTAATGTTCTAGTACACACTGTTGGCGGTTTACTATACACCGTTTATGTTCTAATATACATCTTTAGTGTTCTAGTACACACTATTAGTGTTCTAATATACATCTGTAGTGTTCTAGTACACACTGTTGGTGGTTTACTATACACCGTTAGTGTTCTAATATACAACTTTAGTGTTCTAGTACACACTATTAGTGTTCTAATATACATCTGTAGTGTTCTAGTACACACTATTAGTGTTCTAATATACATCTTTAGTGTTCTAGTACACACTATTAGTGTTCTAATATACATCTTTAGTGTTCTAGTACACACTGTCAGAGTTTTATTATACGCCGTTAGTGTTCTAGTTCAGACTATTAGTGTTCTAAGACACACTATTAGTGTTCTAATACACACTATTAGTGTTCTAGTACACACTGTCAGCGTTTTATTATACACCGTTAGTGTTCTAATATACACCTTTATTACACCGATATGTACATCATTTCGATTTTTCTACAAGCACAGCTTACTTAAATGTTGCCCCCCAAAACCGCTATGAATCGTGAAAATGCATGATCCTGGATTCACAGACTAATTCAGTTCGGGTACGGTGATGACGTCACATCAACAACACCGTATAATGGAAAGGTAACCAAGCGTATTAAGTTCATATTAACCTTTGATTACATTTTAATTCATTTTTGATATTTAATAAAATAATTCCGTTTTCTGGTCGATTCTTTGACAAATGTAATTTGTTTTTCCTTAATATGACATATTTCATGGATTGGACCAATCGTATAGACATGAACAAAACACAATATGATTTGACAGTCTTAACAACTCATCTGCAACATTTCTACTCCAATAAACAAGTACAGAATCAATTAGTGGTTCCTATTTTCTCCTTCTTATCAAATTTACCTTCGTTTTTTTTACTGTAACTGGTATAAATAGAGATGAAGAATCACGTGATAGGCTCTATTGGAGCATATGTCCACACTGGAAATATCACATCGAATGGATAAACCTATAACACTTTTATAAATAAATCGCATAGAAAGGAAAATCTATATCACATCGGAGACAAACCAATATCACATTGAAGGGCGAACCAATGTCATATTAAAGGGAAAAAACAACATCACACTGAAGGTACCTTTAAGGGATAAAACAATAAAAAATTTTGAGAAATATCACAACGAAAGGAAAACCACCACCACACTGAAGGGGAAACCAAAGTCATATTAAAGAGTGAATACAATATAAAATTGACAGATCAATGCGCATTGAATAAAACAATGAAAATCCGGAGAAACAACCCAATGTGGAATTGAAGGAACAAACCAATGTCACATTGGAGAAACGACCCAATGTGACATTGAAGGGACAAACCAATGTGACATTGAAGGGACAAACCAATGTCACATTGGAGAAACAAACCAATTGGCGTTGAAGAGACAAACCAATGTGACAATGTCACATTAGTGGGAAAAACAATATCGCTTTTTATTTCCAAATTATATAACAGATGGAACGAACACAGAAACATATAAATGGCGTTGTATGTACACGCATTGATGTGCCATATTATATTTGAAAGCAATAACCATTACACTATGCAACTATTCGATATTTTTGTAATCAAACACAACCGCAGGGAAGGCTCATAATATATTGATTAAACTTATCGCTCTGGCTTTAGATTGTTTTTAAGACCAGGAAAGGATTGGTGCAATTCATTGAGTCGCATCCCTGGTCCAAGATAATCCTCCCCTAAGACATATACAAGGTTTTCTTCTAAAATTCATTTTTGTTCGATATATGAAATTATACACGACTTGTAAAATGAATGATGACATAATGGTATTCGTCAGACAAAAAAATGCACAGGGAATAACTGACAAATGTGAGAGGAATTGTCGAATAAAGATTGTGAATGTATGGATGGATGTGCGTGAGGTTTGAGATGATAACGGATACAAAGCAAAAAAGTTCAAATATCAGAAATTGGAAGGAAGCATTGGATGGCAGCTGCGTAGGCTCCCTTGGGAAGATATTAACATGTATACAGTTCGTTGTAAACACAGATACAAGCGTAGACCGTGTGGGAATCCACCACTTGACCCACGCGCCATTACTATTGGCCTAATCTGCTTAAAAACTCATTTTCTACTAAACCCGCGTTATCTCCATGGCCCTTCCAAATTTTATTAAACTTTAAATGTCGACATTTTCCGTGAGGAAAATCATTGTTATTTGCCTTGTCGGGTTGGATAAGACGCACTATTCATTGCTAACTCCGCTCCCGGCGACCAATCTTTCTTCTCTTGATATCTCTATTCCTGATTTATTTAATATCGTCGGAGCTTGCGTTCTTTCTCAGATGAAATTATGGCTGCATACACAGTGTGTATCGGGTGCTCACACAAGCGGAAAATCCATCTTTCCTCCTATAGGCTGTGAGCAATAGATATGTGTGCATCCGTGGTGTGTGGTGAGGGCATGAAGGAAATTAACTTCTTAATATAGTTTATAGTCTCGGAGATATATCTTTTTACACCTTAAGGTGTAATTGTGATTTTCAAACAAAGTAACTTCTAATCACAAATAAACTGACGCCAACAAAGGTTGATTCAACAGAAATAATCAATCCAAAAACGGCGGTGGTATTCCGTGGAAATAGTTGTGCACACAATTCACAGTGTTGTCAACTAACACTCGTGTTCTGTAGGTAATTCAAAAACGGGATGGCGTCACCCAAATACTGTGATGGGATTCTTGAGCCTGAATAGAATGTGATGAGTTATTTTCTGTCTATCTGTAAAGCTTAGTTGTGATAACTGATCGTATTGACACTGTCTTTCCTCATCACCGTCCGTTCTTAATAGCTACATCTTAATGATGGGTTTAGTCACAGGCTATTATTACACGCTACTTTACAAATACACATTTAGCACGAATAAAGGCACGTGATGCCACTCGGCAAATTAGCTGTTTTCACCAATTGTAGCGGAAAGATAAATGAATGACTGGTTGACATGATATAAAAGCGATTCGTGTGACATCTTTAATATGGAATATGCAGCTATATGAATGAGATGAACGACGGGAAGACGTCCATGTAATGAAGGGTCAAATAACATCCATGCACTGAACACTATCTCGTTTATTCATAATGTTGTACCCTGCCACGATTCTAAGGC